ACAACAACAACAACAACAACAACAACAACAACAACAACAACAACAACAACAACAACAACAACAACAACAACAACAACCAATATCAGTACTTCCATATGACTTACCACCTAGTTACGATGAGATAACGAAGTAACAAAATGACATTCATCTTTTATTATTATTGTAATTTACATGATTAATAGTGGAGTATATCATTTTTTTTTGTTTATATAAATAAAGAAATAAATAAAATGCAAAATAATTTATCCTAGTCTTAAAACATAATTGCAACTAGAAGATCCTCCAAAAAAAGTAAATTAATGAATTAGTAAAAGGGAGGAGAGCAAAGCTTTAATATAATATAGATTATAAATATAATGATAGCAATACATAAATGAATATAATATATAATTTATACGTCAACCCGATCTGATTTAATTCTGCCCTTTTTGGTATACATATGTCATACCATTTGGGGATTCACAGCTAATATATTACCAAGGTAGCTTAAAGCTTAAAGGCTTTAGTATATATATATACAAGATTGGAATACAGAAAATTTTTTATCATTAACTTGTTTCATTAAAAACAAAGTATCAAACTTATTCCTGATTTTTTCAGCAAGATAAATATCACCAGTCAATTTCTTTTCTTTGGAACCAAATTTGATATTATAATCTTTTTCTTTATTGATACGATTACAGATCATAATAACATATTACTGGTAAAAGATAGAGTATCTTCGAATATGTTATTGTATTCCTTTCTAATGCATAAAACCAATCCATGTCGTTCAATAGACAATTATTATAATTGTCATTGTCTGCATTTTTTACTTCTTCATTATCAGATTTTGTTGGCTTGATGTTGAAAACTCTCAGTAAAAAATTTCAAAGAACGGTCTCAATGTGGCGCGTTCATTCGATTTTCTTAACACAGTTGCAAATGGAAGGTCTCAAAAGGTACAAAGTGTTTGCAAAAGCTATGATATATCAAAGTAATATTTTATATCTCGTAGTCGGAATTCTTCTCTCAGAATGAAGCCGTGTGTCAACCTACACTTTGGACAAGATGATATCATGAAAAAATAATCTCGTAACAATTGAATATCCAACTATAGAGAGAATCTTTTAAAGTAAATATTCTCAAACCATTGATTGGTTTTTCGATGCCTGAATTTATAATATTGTTGAAATTTTTGTACAATAAATTTTGGTAATTATCTAACATACGAGTAAAATAATCGTCATTAACTTTTCCTTAATAAATGAACTAGAGTCGTAGACGAACGAAAGACAATTATTTTCGTTACAATCATCGTCATCATCTTTATTGTTGATGTTGTTAGGTGATGCAAATGATGATTGTGGATCTTCTATTTTTTTAGAGGAATTTGCTTTTCCACTTGTCTGACATAATTTTCATAATCTTTAACACTTAATATAGATTGCATGATTGAAATTTCCAAATTGTCGGATTCTCTTTTAATTTTTGTACCAAAAAATGACTAATTATTGATTTCAAAAACACAAATTCCAATTCAATCCCATTTTTATAATGATTTTCTACTTCAATGTCAACCTGAGTAATTTCGATCAAACATTTTTGGATTATGACAGGTTTTGATTCCTTTCTAACTTCATGAAAAGATTCTTATCAAAACGGAATCACCAATTAGATCAAGGTGATCTTTACACAAACGTAGACCAAATTTTGTTAATTTGAATCCAATACGAATGAAATCATTTAATCGATTATAACCATTTTTTTATTTGAATCACTCCGGCCATCGGACGTATTTAATGGAAGAAGCTTTAGAATACAGCCTCAATTACCAAATAATTAACTACAAATGTCTTAATAGTCTATCTCTTTTCACATGCCAACGATGCTAGCATCTAATAAAATTGCTCTGGTAACTATATCAAGTTATCCAGTATTCTCAAAACCATCTTTTGCTGGATGTTCTTGATTGACTATGGTGTCTTCAAATCGAATTTTTGGTCTCGGAGAAAAAGGAGTGAATTTTTGATTGACAATAAAATCACGAATCTCTCCCAAGTTTTCTTTAATCATTATTGATGCTTGATCAATGGGCAATTTAAAAAATGGAATTTTTCAATATCATCGCCTTTCAGGGGCAAACTTGGTCCAAATCTTGCCTCGGCCTCTTCTAATAAAGTAACAAATTCACCCATTGGTATGTCTGATGACCATGGAGTTTTTATACCTTTTTGGAAAGCTTTGTCGTTATTATTACCTTGCAATCGTAATTTAATCAATCCTTCGTCTTCCTGACCATACTGTAGAAGCAATCTTTGTATAAAGTACCTTGATAGATTTGCATTATTTTTTATTAACAAGAATAAACGAAATATATAGGAGTTTTAATATACTTGAAAATTCCCTACAAGTAATTCAGGGGGGAAATTATTCATACTAATTTGTGTTTTTTTTTATAAAATCTATATCACGTGAATCCGTTGTAACGCGATTAGTACTTATTACTAAAATCCTTTGAAACGCGATTTAAATATAAAATCCGTTGAAACGAGAATTTTTTAATTAATAAATCAAGGGGTAAAACCAAAAATCCGTTGAAACAAAAATCCGTCGAAACGAGGGTTCGACTGTATTTATATATATATTGAAAAAAAAAGATATGTATTTTTTAATATATACGTTAGAAGTAACTATTTAATTTTTAACTTTATTTTTTTTCATATTGTTTATTAAAAGAAAAAAATATACAATTCCACAATCAATTTCTATCCCTTAAATGGTTTTTCGGCTATTGATAGCCGAAATTTTTTTCTGTTATAGAAAACTTTTTTTGAAAGTATTACTTCCTAATACGAAAATGATCTTTGAGATTCAGCTGATTGATCTATGAATAAAAATTTGGTTGTTGTCCTTGTGGTTTTCGTAAAATCTTCCTTAAAAGTTGGTTGATTGACTATTTTTACTTTGCAGATCGTTAAATTGGCCAATAAGAATGCAAGATCGTGATCAAAATATTATTTTGTGTTACTACTAAAGAATTTAAGGGATAATAACGCCATCATCGGGGTTAATACTATTGGTTAAAAAATTCATCAGTTCTTGAATCAATCAAATAATTATAAATAAAAACTTACCAAGATGGTAAATTAAGTTTCACCTCAAACTCTCCTACTGGCAAATTTTTAACAAGATATTTTTTTGGTTGGTGCTATACTTCTGCAAAATCCATTTATTGTAATAAGCTTCCAATCACTCTGATCAATAAATATATTTAGCTCATTTTTGTTTTTAATATTTGGTATGCTCATTATAACAATGAATGTATCACTATATAGAGTAAAAAAAAATGAGTTAGATAAAACTACAATGACACATGCATGATACAACCCAGTTACTATACCTGTTTTCTATTAGATCAAATGGTAATGATGGTTTTTGTAATGGTAGCTCCACCACTTGTGGTTGTGGTTCTGGTTCTGGTGTTGGTTGTGGTTGTGTTGGTGTTGATTGTGGTTGTGTTGGTGTTGGTTTTGGTTGTGTTGGTGTTTGTTTTGGTCTTGGTTGTGGTTGTGTTGGTGTTGGTTGTGGTTGTGTTGGTGCTGATTGTGGTTGTGTTGGTGTTGGTTGTTGTTGCGTTGGTGTTGGTTGTGGTAGCAGTTGTTGTGTTAATGTTGGTCATAGAGAAACTTTAAATGAATCTGTAATTTTTTTTTGGTTGTAATTTTGTCTTGTTAATTTTTGATGATCATCTATTTTTTTATGCCTTTTGAGATAACTTATTTTATATACACATGTTCCAATTGTAAAAATTTTTTTTTTTGCCTGACTGCATATTTTGCAAAACATTACTGGTGGAGCCAATTATACATATTAGTCCATTCAGGATCAGGCTCAGTACGTTCTTTTCTAAAATATTTGATCTTGTGATCAAAATAATCATTACTAGCACTTCCACCACCTCTACCACCACCTCTACCACCACTGCTACCACCACTTAAATTATTGTTTGTTTAAAAATTCATACATTACAAAATTATTGTTATTGTTGTTGGATAATTATTATTACTATTATGTCTATGATGATTCTTGTATTATTGGTATTTCTAATATAATTATTTTAAATAAACTAATATAATCAGTATCTTTATAAACAATTGGGGGGCGCTCTAGGAAAACCAGGCTTCGAGTTTCGTGTTACGTGTAATTTTCATAACAAAAACATATGAAAATTACACGTAACACGAAACTCGAAGCCTGGTTTTCCTAGAGCGCCCCCCAATTAAGAGAAAGCTAGATCAATGCTGCTAACATAACGGAATAATGAAAGACTTACATTTTTGCGACTATTACTATATAATAATAATAGTATTTTCTCCGCACACTCCGTACTAATATATTAATGTTATTGCGCGTTACACATTGGGTTAGTAGGAATTCGATTTTATCAAAATGTGATGATTGTTTGTGATATGCACGAATGGTGAATGGATTATCCGATTATCTATCTAATAAAAAAAAATTTTTTATAAATTTTTTCTACAATTATTATGCAATCAACTTTTCAATTTATTTTTATAATTATTAATTCACTAATAATTTTTTTTTTAGTATCTTCTTCATCTCCATCTCCATCATCACATTTAACTAGACATCGACAAACATTTTTTTTTGATAGAGTGCTAGCGAGTAGCAGTAACGATGACAATTCTTTTATAAATGATAAAATACAGATCCCAGAAAAAAATTGTGCCTTGATTAAAAATTTTACCGGAATTAGAGAATGGAAGATTTATAAGCCACTTGAAAATTTTTTTGTTAATAATAATAATAACAATGGTGATAATGATCTGTTACTATTTTCTGATTGGAAAACTGAATGGTCAGCTAGAGTTCAGATTATGATGGAGGAAGAGGAGGAGGAGGAAGAAGAAGGGTTATGGAAGAATAAAAGAAACAAAGAGGATGGTGATGAGAATAAAGGATATGAAAGTAGTAGTATATTTCAACATCCTTTTAATGTGTTGCCTATTCCAGGCGTTCATGTAGGCTTTTCGGTTAGATCAGTAGAAAAAGTAGAAGAGGAAAATGATTTAGCAGATATTTCAAAATTATGTCGATTACTTGATAAACTGTTTGGTATTTTTAATTGCGAATCCTATCAACAACAGCAGCAACAACAACAGCAACAATTATTTTTTCAAGGGAAAAGAAAACCTATTGATGTCTCACAATCAATATCATTGGAAAATGGACAATATTATTTTTACTCTTCAAATACTCCTTCTTTATCATTATCTTCGATTCTAATAAACTATTTAATTCAAGATAATAACAACAATAATAGTAATAATGACAATAATAGTAATAATAATCTAAATACTCTAGTACTTTTGGATTTTAATTTAAAATTTGATGAAAAAATCCAAAAACCAATGATGGATCTTAGATTTCTATGGAAATATGAGAATCAGGACATAAAGATTGTTAAAGAAGAAAAAGAGTTTATTAATATTAATAATAAAAATAACTATAAAAATGATAATAATGATGATGGTTATAAATTGGAAATAGGAATATTTTGGGATAGATTTGATGATGAATCATTTTATGGAGCAAGATTATTATTTGAACAACAGCATCAAAAATTTAAATTTATAGAAACACTGTTAACAGTTCCAAATGATCGTGTACCTCCTGCATTAAATTATTCTTTCAATTCTGTTCTGTCATCAAATCAAACATTTCATACTAATTTCCATACCACTGTCAAGGGTAACAATGATGAAATAAAAGGAATGGAAGATGAAGAAACTTGTAAATTATTATTTATTCATATCATACCAAATACTTTTATTGTTGATAAATATCAATTAGATGACTCAAATGACATAAATGATAATAAAAGGATTGAAATATTTGGTGAAATGAATCTAGAAAGTCCAGTTGGTGATAAATCATTAAGATGGGGCAACGTTGCAATTATTAGTCAGAAGATGATGATAAATGGTGATGTGTTTAAGCTTCCTTTACATTTAAGATATCAACCACCCTTACCTACTACTAATACACTATCATCATCACTGACCACATTATTATTATCAATATTTTCATCATCATCATCAAAAAATAAATTACAATCATCACCATCTTCCACAATCATGATAACGGAAGATAAAGAAGGCGGAGGAACTAAGAAAAAAAAAAGGAGTGGTGTTAGTATTGATGATACAAGAAAATATCATCAGCATAATAATAATGATGATGATAATTATAGTCATGTAACAGTTAGTATTCCATGGCCTTTGGTAGTTTGTTTATGTGATGAAAAATCAAATAATAACAAGAATAACGATAAGAACAATAATATTGACAAACCAGGTAAATATTTAATGCAGTATAATTGTAATTATAAATGCTATAATATTAATAATTTTAATTTTTAATTATTTTTGGATTGTGATAAAAGATCCGTTATTTTCCCAAACACCATTACCATTATCACTTTTTTATAATAATAAAAGAAAACAAATTAAATATATTCTACCCATGCAACAAAACCATTGGCCAATAGAATTAGTTAAAGTGCCAATTGGTCAATTGAATCATTTAAAGATTGTTGAACTATGGACAATATTGGTTGTTCTAATTGGAAGTTTTTGGATTTTTTGGATTGTTTCAAAAAAAATTGTTGCTAAAAACGCGCAAGATAAAAATAAAATTGATTAATAAATATGAGAAAAGTGGAGAGTGATGGAGATGATAGGGGATAAAAGATGATAGTATGGTATATTATAAAAAAATATGGTGGTATAAAAGTGATAATTATTATTAGAATTAGATATTATTATAATATAAATATAAATATAATAATAATAATGCATATAGTTATCAATGAAAAAAATCAAAACAAACGAAATAAAATATTTATCATTTATAACTAGCAATCATTTGAATATGATTATTAATTAATCAAAGATTGATTAATCAAGCATGTACTAAACAACAATTCATCTCATCCGACTCATTTATTTATTATTTATTGTTTGATTCTTTGGCTAGAAGTTATGTAACAACAAAAAAGATCCGTTAAAATTAGAGATAAGGTGAATTACAAGAAAAAAAAACTTTAATTTTTTATACTATCTAATTTAATTGATAGTTTTATTTCTGTTGATTATTTTAAAAAAAAATTTTTATTTATACGAGTTACTTTTAATTTTATAATAAAGTTCATATAAATTTTCTTACCAACAAAATGGAAAATAATAAATTAGAAATTCCTTTTAGAGCATATACACTTACACTAACACTTGAAACCTAAAAAAGATATTTGTTGTTTATTGACGTAGTTGTTACACGATAAAATCTTAAATTTGCAAAAGTTCTTTTACTTTTTTGCATTTTTTCTTATTCTTTTAATAATAAGTTGATGAGGAAAAAAAGATAAATAATAATAACAAGGCAAAAAAACAGTAAAATAAATTTTTACAATTTTAAAAACTTATGAAAATAATTTAATTTTTAATTTATTTCTTGGCAAAAGTACAAATTAAAAATAAAATTATTAATCTTCTAGATTCTAGATTCATTCGTTTGTTTGTTTGTTTATTTATTTGTTCATACAATATTCAATATCAACAATTTCTTTTGGTGCGCTAGAACTCAACACGATCGGATCACTTTCTCCGACCAACACATTATCTTCTATACGTATGCCCATTCCGTGATACTGTTCTGGGTACGCTTTATTACGAGGAACGTATATTCCTGGCTCTATAACACAATTATTTAAAAGTTCATATAAATAAATAAAAACCAGATAAATGATCAGGTGAAAATAAAATAATAAATAAATAAATACCAATAGTTATAACCATTCCTTTTCTCAATATTTTTGAACGATCAATATCATGTGTGTCATGAACATCCAATCCGAGATAATGTCCAACATGGTGTGGGTACAAGACACGATCAACATCCTTTATTTGAATATTAATATAAATAATATAATAAATATATGTTGCGTTGTATTAAATCTGATAAGATAAGATTGAATTAATCATTTATTTTACCTGCATTAATTAATAAATAAATAAATAAATATATTAGTAAATAATATGTTACGTTGTGTCACATCTGATAAGATTAGATTAAATTATTGCATTAAGAAAGAAAGAAATAAAATGAATATTAATATTTAGTAAACATAAATAAATAGATTATAATCTTATCAGATGTGATGATGATGAAGTTAAATCAATCACTTACCTTAGATGAAATTTGATTTAATAAATAAACAAAATGAATATTAGTATTAGTAAATACAAATAAATAAATTATAATTTCATCATTATTAACATTTTTACCCCTTCAACAAGATCAAATCCGAGTGGAGATAATTCCTCCTTCATTATTTTGACAGAATATTCATGTATACCATTCAAGGAAATGTTTTGTTCTTCCGTACAAAGCTAGTTATGTGTGTGTTTGTGTGTGTATATATATTATATATAAATTTAATGTATGTAAATGCATATATTTATATTTATTTGATTACTTATTTACCTTTATACATTCTCTGTTAACTTTTAAAACTGCTTCATATAATTCTTTTTGTGGTTGAGTAAATCTTCCATTAACAGGCCATGTTCTTGTAATATCACTTGCATATCCATAATATTCCTAATTATTCATCACAATTTATGTAAAATGTTTACTGATATGTTATACTGATATACTTATATTTTGAATCATCTATATCAACTTACACCTCCAGCATCCATTAAAACCAACTCTCCGTCACTATTAAATTTAAATAAAAACAAAAATGAATGAATATAAATTTATATGTGAATAATATATATTTGTTGATTTAAATTTACCGCAATGGCATATCATTCCTTACATAGTGCATAGTTAATGCGTTGATTCCACATGCAACTACAGGAACATATGCAAGAAATTGTGCTCCACGTATTCTACACTCAAAATCTATTTTTGCATACAAATCATGTTCTGATAATCCTGGTTTTGTAAACTTGGTTGTCTACAGAAAATTGGATATTAGATATTTATTATAAGATAGGTGTGGTGGTGAATAACAAATTAATATATTAATAGATAGAAATATTAATTAATATTTACTTCAATGAATGCTTTTCCTGTAATTTCGCCAGCTTTTTTCATTAATTTTATTTCTGAATCACTTTTTACAAGTCTTAAATCTTGTATCAATCTACTTAATGGTTTTACTTGATAATAATAATTATTATTATAATAATTCTTGTCATTATTATTATTATTATTAATTAATTTTTGATAATTATAAAACAACCAATTAATTAATGACAATGATAATTTAATATTACTAATCATTCTCTTTATCATCATCATCATCATATTATTATTATTATCATTGTTATCACTGTTATTATTACCATTATTAGTGATTCTATTAATATTTGTTATGTGATCTGTTGAAAATATATTTATCCGTGGTGGAATATCAATGTAAATCTCTTTATAATTTTTAATTATTTCTTTAATCCTGGAATTAAACCTTGATGATTCCATTGCCTATTATTAATTGAGAAGGTGGATTGGTGGATGGGTGATGGAGATCAGTGGATGAAGGAAGATTAAAGATGAAAAGATAAAAAAGGGACAATAAATAATAACAATAACAATAATAATTAATTAATTTATTGATAATTTAACCATTACTATATTTTCTTACCAATAAATTTAATAATAATAATAATAATAATATAATAATAGTGATGATGATAATAATAATAAAGTATTAAATAAATTGCCTTGAATTTCTTGCCTCATCTGCTCCAAAAATATTAACTGCACCAGCTAATCCTGTTCTAGGTCCATCCCACATTTCAATACTCTTATTTTTTGGTGGTACAAACATTGTCATCTTATAACCTCTACGTGTATTATTCTTTTCTTACATTTTTTGTGTTTTTTTTTGGGGGAAATGAATTAACTTATATTAAAGATTTGAAATTTTTTTGAATAAATTTGAATTTGAAATGGTTAATGTTAGTTACCTAAAACTATAGCTGAATCTGGTTCATTAAATCCTATTCATCATCATCATTAGTCAATAAAAATTAAAATAAAATTTTCAATTAAAATTAATAAATTTTTTAAATTTACCACTTAAATAATAAAAATCGGTATTCTGATGAAATGGATAACTGTAAATATATAATGTATAGTTAATATCATATTTCCCATTTCTTTTATTATATTAATCCTTGATCTTGTATTATAACTAATCTTAAATATACATAGATATATACGAACAATACTTTATTTGACATATATCTTGTCCGATATCCTAACGAAATAGCTACACTATTTTCTGGTAATTTTTCTATTAATAAAGCTCTTCTTAGCTCATATTCAGCTGCTGATATTCCCGGTGTTACTATAAAATAAATAAATTGACTAAAATTCATTATTTAATTGATGATATTGATTAATTCACAAAAGATACAAATGCATATATATTGGATATTATTAATTATTCTTATATTACCTTCACCCGATTTCATTATATGAGGATGAGTTTCGTGAGTTGGTTGACCATATGTTTTTGGTTCTACTGGTGTTAATACTGATGGAGTATGGTAACATCGTGAGTGACTTTTAAGATCTTTTTGAATTCAGTGAAAAAGGTTGTTTTTTTTCACCGGGAAAATAATTAACAGTTTAGTGATAATAATGATAATAATGGTCATTTAAAAATTAAATTTTATAATAATCAATAAATTACTTGATTTAAAACTTATGGAGCAACGATTTTGTCGCGAAATAATATTTGAAAAATGAAAAAATGGTCGTTGAGTCATTTTCTTTTCAAATAAAAAATTTTTTCATGATCAGCGGATCAATTTTGCGATAGAATTTTTTAATATTAAAGCGCATAAACATCTTGTTGTACAATACTACTAATACTTATTAGGTAATATTCGATAATGGAAATCAGGATCAGAAAATTTTATGAACCCAGGAAATTTATTATTATTCACGCATTGATATAAAGCTCGCTATTAATTTTTGTGTATAATTAATATAAATAATAATAATGTTGATGTTGATGTTTGTCGGTATTAGGGAAAACCACCTTTAAATCACCCTTTTTGTTGTTGGCAATAATATTGTCACCGATTATTATTTGGGAGAGCGTGATAACAATATAAATTTATAATTATGTGGATCGGCTATCACTAACGAATTAGTTTTATTAGTATTAGCGAATAATTTTGGGTTAATGATCTAAAGCGTTTTATTTAATTTATTAATATTAATATTAATTATTTTCGTAACACGTTATGTTGTTCGTTGTAACTTTGTAATAAGTTAACTTAATAGTGTAATTGATACACTTGGGTTATCTGGAACTTTGTTGTAGCGTACCATTTGATTTAATAAAATCTATTTGAATCTACTAAAACAAATAAACAAAGGACAAATTTGATATTTATCAAAAAAAGAAATAAAGAAACTTTAAAGTATATAAAATATGATTGATTTTGGACTGAGATTGATGTATCAAAAAAAAAATTTTTTTGCAACATTAAAAATCGCTGTTTAAATTGACTATATACTACTTGTGTGATCAATTCAATAAAGGAACAAAGCTATTTGTTTATTGTTGTTTTTTTGAAATGCATGGTTTCTATTCATAAATACAGTCAGAACTCGTT